TTGGCTCCATGGGGAGCATCAGCCCCATCCCCTTCACACCCACGAAACACTGAACTGAAACCCACATGCTGGGTCTGTCCATGCCAAAAGTAATCCCAGCCCGTGCTGTGAGCCCTGGGAAGAGCCAGGTTTCCTTCCCCTAAGGTTTGCTCTGCCCTCAGTAGAGATCCAGCCACTGAGCCTCCCTTTCTAACCTGTCCATGGGGGAATAAACCCACTTTCCTGGCTCCCAAGTTTTGAGGATGCTCTGGCTCTGCAGGACCAGACCTTGCAGGAGAAAGAGAAAGTCAGCGGCGTTGAAAAACAACCCATAAAACTGCCCTTATTCTGCAAACCTGGGCCAAGATGAATTTACGACCCCTCCTGCTAACGGGGCTAGAACAAGCAAGAAAGCCGATGATGGAGGCTCTGTTACTGTAATGAATTTGTACTTTCCACTGCCACTCGCTCCCTGATTTACAATGGAGTGGGGAACTTTAAGATAAAAAAAAAAAAAGCCCACCACCAAAAAAAAAAAAAAAAAAACCCAAACCCCAAATCGAAAAGACGCCCCGTGTTTTGGTTTCTTTCTTCCCTCTCCCACCCCGCCTTGCCCTGTCAGGCCATTAATTCTAACAGAAACCACCAGCTCTGGTTTTTTCCCTCGAACCCCTCAGCTGTTGCAGGGAGACAGCTGCACCCTCTGGAACTAATTACAGCTGTCTGGGAGATTTAGCCCTCCATCCCAACAACTCCAATATTGCTGCTAATTTTTAACACGTACAGTTGGAAGATGTCATAATGGGCTGATATATGATTGAATCTTAAAAGTGCTACAGCGCAGCTGCTACCGGGCATCTGGTGGGATGAATATATTGATTTAAAAAATAATGCTTATTATTTTTAGCCTTTCTGCCCTCCCCGAGGCTGTAGCTTTGCCCGACTCGGGTGGTGATGGAGAGCGGGTGCTTGCCCAGAAGGGTGGTGGCAGGCAGATCCTGGCATCTCCCATGCGGGGTGGTGGGTCCTTCTGGGTATCTCGGTGGTCCTCCCACTTCCAACCATCCACACCAGGATCAGCACCTCCCGGGCACTGCCGTTGAGCTCAGGAGAAGCTGCCAAAGGGTCACTTCTGTCTGTTGTCCTCCATCCCTATTGTTGTGATAGCAGAGAGGGTTTTCCACGTCCTGGAGGAGAAATATCTGACTTGCTTTATCTGACCATATCTTGTTTCTTGCCTCTCAAGTGATTATTTTGCCCTCTTGTGCCTCCTAATGGACCTAACCTGGTCTCAGCTGATTCAACCTGATTTCCCCACCTAGCTGTGGTACCTGGTGCCCGGTGCTTCCCAGGCAGCCAGGAGAAGCTGCTGGCTTGCATTTTCTCAGAAAATCCTGGGAAACTGCTTGCAGCTGGGATTCTCCTTCCTGGCCTTTCTGTCTGTCCCCTCTGAAACATGGGTCTTGCTCATCCTTCTCCAAGTGTGAGTGACCACCTGTGGCATTAGACTGCTTTTAATGGAGATGAAGTCAGATAGCTGCTTCACAGCATCCTTGAAGGTGTTTCCATTTCTCCAAGAGCAGCAGGCAGGGTTCACACATGCCAGCAGTTTTCCTGCATCAGAGAGGGCTCAGAGAGCTGTGGATCCCTTCCACCAGCCAGAAAGTCTTCACCTAAGCCCCAGAGTTGCAAAAATCACAAGCAATTGCTGATAAGGTGATGCACAGCTCGTAGCAGTTTCCCAATCTGCAGGCAACCACGCATGTGTGTGTCTCGCCTGAGTTACAAGCTGTCCAGGGCTCCAAGCGATGCTTGTAAACTCTGTGAGCTCTGAAATGATGGACTCTGAGGGGGTTAATGCTTCAGCCCTGTTAGTGCAGGAGCGTGTTCGCTCCCTGAATCCCGGGAGGAGGGAGCAGGTCCAGCGAGGCAGCACCAGAGAAGTTTCCAAACCCTTTAACTTCAGGACTGAGGCACCCAGGTAGATTATAAATGCTGGAGTAGCTTGTAAACTCTATGAGGCCTGAAATGAGGAGCTCCAGTGAGTATTAAACTCTGCAGCTTTTACATCCATGAGCCTTGCAAGGAAAGATTCCCACGGGTTCCAGGTTTTCCATGTTTCTGCAACAGCCCCTAATCCCAGGAATGATGGAGAAGACTGATAGTGTGGGGTCTGGATGCTGCAGTTCCTCCATCCCGCAGCACATGTTGGCTGCTCTAGCCAGGTAAAGGCTCTTTGATGTCTCCAGTGACCAGAATGAAAACCTTCAATCTCGCATCTCAGAGAAGCACTGGTGGTGCAGGACAGTGAAGAGCCATGGCCTGCAGTGTGGGCTTTATAGCTCATCACTGGGTGTGTGGTTCAGCCCCTGGAAGAGCTCAGCTCCCTGGACTTTACAAAGTCCACAGCCCACAGAGCTGTCCAGGCTCCTCTTCCATGGATCTTGTCATCCAGATATGGACTGCTCATCCCAACACTCCAGCTCATGGCTCAGGTGGAGCAGGCTGGGGGAAGCAGAGTGACCACGGCTGGGACAAGAGGGTGGCTGAATTTAGAGGTTGGGGGTCTTGGGGGACTCTTCAGATTGATTTAGGCTCTGAAGAGAAGAGCCTGAGACATAGTCAGATAGAAACGCAAACTTTATGCCACAAAAATGCATCTTCAATTGCATGTGGTCACTTTAATGCTCACACGGTTCTAGTTTTACACACCGATCCCTTTGATACCAAACATTTTAATAGACACAGAACATATGGGAAAAATCATACCAAATCAGATGATAGATATTATTTAATCTGGGCAGGCAAGCCCGTTTGAAAGGGACAAGGAAATTCTCATTCCAGAGGGGTTATAGGACAGTCCTTGAGGCTGGGGAGAAGGCGCTTCTGTGTCTGAGCAGAGAGAGCTGGCATCTCCTGAGGTCTCCTAGGTCTGCCCTGGGATAAGTCAACTGCTCTGTGTTCTCTGTGTGCCCATCTGGAAAATAGGAACTTTGCCAGAGGGGGTTTGCAGATCGCTCCTTCCGTGTGGGGCACCCCATTAGAGCCATGTTGTGGGTGTATGTGGAGACAGGGCCACAGATTTTTGGGGGGAAAAAACCCAAAAGCCCCAAAGTGTCAGACAGAGGGAGGCTTCGAGGCGGGGATGGACTGACATAAAATCAGCCAATGAAGCTGGATATGTTTTTTGAATTCCAGAAAGCAATCAAGCAGCACAGCTTGGAAATCTCTATCCATCCCGGACAGGAGCCTGCAGGCTACCTGGACCCACGGGAACGTTGCTGTTCAGTAATGCTCTAATTATTAACAGGAAATTTTGTGCTCCTCTGAAGTAAACACTGTGGGAGTAACACTTCAGCCCCCGTTTGACTTTTACCAGCCTCAGAAAAGGAGGGGGGAGAGAGGGTGTAGAAATGGCCCTGATGTAATGAAGCCAGCAGCTGCAGGGCAGCATTTATGGTGATGAGATGCAGGTTTGTGCAGCCCGAGCCCCGGCCAGGGCTGTGGCACTGCCCCCCCCTCCTCTTTACCCCATTTACCTTCCCCCATTTGAGGGCTGGTATCCTGCCTCCCTGCAGCCCCCCACCTATGAGTCACGGTGGCCTAGGACACTGCCACGGAGCAGTATGGCATCAGGGGACACCTCCATTCCCACTCTTCCCTTGGCACCCAGCTCTTACCAGCAGCTTAAATTAGAGCTGTCCCAGCGTAGCTCCAAATGCTTTAGTCTGGGCTTCCTTGGATCCCACCTTCAACCTCAGTGAAGGGAGAAACGTGGAGATAATTTGTCCTATTTTCATTCCAGCCAGGAGACAATCAGGAAAGTCAGCAGCAGGTAGTGGATGTGATGAACAGCCCCACGTCGATGTGTTTTCTTAGGGGAACTGTTTCTGTGTTGCTCATCTGGGTGCCCAGCGAGATTTAAATGGAGTCGTCGAGTTGTGATTGCAGCAGACCTTTTAATTGGGTGCACTTTTATCCCTCGTCTGCCATCTCCCCTGCTTCCCGTGGTACGGAGGTGAGCGCTGATGGCAAATATACAGGAGTCGTCCCTAATTATTTTAGCAGTAGGAAGGAACTTTACGGCTGCCCGAGGCGCAGCCCCGGGAGCGAGCAGCTGCGGGAGCGCGGTGCCCCGCTCAGTAGCAGGGTTTGTATTTTAGTAGCGAAGCAAAGCAGGTTTAAATGAGCATTGACATGACTTTGACATTTTTATATTGTGGGTTATTTTATGAACTTATCCAGCAAACGGGGCGATGCACTCTGCAAACAGGGACCACGACGCTGGAGGAGCGGGGTGTTACTCCTTCTCTTGTCAGCATGCCCTACATCAAGCGGGACCAAACCTCCCGAACCCCGCGGCATGGTTAGCCTCCGAATGTGTTTGGCGACACTGATGAATGCTTCTTTCTGCACTGCTTTAAAATCTCCTTTTCTGTCAACTCCCAGGGTGGCCAGAAAACAGATGCGCTCATAGCCCCGCTAATAAGCTGCGGAGCAGAAGGAGCAGCCGCTGGCTGGGGCAGAGGGATGATGGGGGGGGAGCTGGGGCAGCAGTCGGGCTCTGTACCTAAAAATGTCCCGGGCAGAAATACTCCATAGTTGTTCTCAGAAAAGAAAAAAAAAAGTTTTCCTGATTTTATTATTATTATTATTTCAAACTTGGTTGTAGAGAGGCGTGTGGGGTGCAGTGGGGAGCACACTGGGCAGGAGTGTTAAAGCTTCTCTTGTGCATTGTTCTGAAAATGCATCGAGAGGAGCCCAGGAGCTCCCTGATGCCCCGCTCCAGCGGGGACTGCTGCATCACTGCCTCTGGCTGCAAGCATCCCATGGATGGATGGAGCACCAGGATGCAGGAGCCAGCCAGGCGGAGTGCCCTTACGCTGATTTCTCCATCCATCTATGGCAAGGCTCAAAAACTCCTCTCCCAGGGGACCATAAATAGGGTCTGATGCCTTTTTGCCTCCGCCCAGCAGCAGTACCAGCCCCTCCTGAGCAGGATGTGCTTTGTTTCTTTGCAGATGGATCCGAGGGGAACACTTCAAGTACAAATTCAGCCAACCTGGTGGAAAGCACGCCAGCGAGGGGAGGTGGTGGATTCGGAAGAGGATTGGCCCTTACTTCCCCCCTGTCAACCTCCAGGGCCTGAAGAAGTTTTATGAAGACAGGAACTGGCCATACCCCGTGCAGAACTGATGGAAGAGGACGAGCAAGGTCAAGAGGGACCAGCTGGGGAAGAGGGAGAGCAGTCAGCTCCCTTACAAACTACATGTCTTGCCTTTCTCTGTATTTTTTATCCATATTCTTGTTTACACATATTTTACAGAAGGTTCCCCACCAACCTGTTCACCTGCTGTTGTGGTCTGATTTTTCTCATCTTTCTGTTTCTTTCTGTTCATCCTTCTCACCGTGGCCTCACCTGATGATTGATTTCTTCTGCCAGGCTGCTTCCTTCGGAAATCATCAGCTCTAGAGTTTGGGCAAAAAGGTGAACGAATACTGTGATTAGTTTTGAGGAGGTGTTAGTGTTACTTTCCCTGAGCCGTTGCATTGTGTGATGGCTGTAGAGGTAAAAGGTGAGATTTTTGGGGTGGTCTCCTGTCACGGCCAGTGCTCACGGGTTCACTGGAGCCCAGCATCAGGCAGGGCAGCCACATGGTGCTCTGTAGCTGCCTCATGCAGAGGTGATGCTGGTGCAGCCTGGGACACTGCTCCTCTGTGCCGTGCCATGCCATGCCATGCCATGCCATGCCATGCCATGCCATGCCATCCCATCCCATCCCATCCCATCCATGTGCACTGCCAGCAGTGAGCCGTCAAAGCTGCTTTATTCCTGACATAGCTGTCCCCACGCTGCCCTCGCTGTTACCCTGGGAAGGGCCTGGTCACCACCTTCTCACCGCAGGTTAATGATGGGGCTGAGCTAGATGTCCTGCCCATCAGGCATGGTGCAACTGTCCCACAGCATGTCCCCAGGGCAGCACAGCAAGCTGGGGCTGGGCAATGCCCCCAGGCTGGGGAAAACACCCTGGGACCTCACCCTGAATTTCCCTTGTCAATCCTGTTCACTTTCGAGCCTCCCCTCCTCTCGATCTGTGTTTAAAATCACTCCAAATTGTCCCACCACTTGGTGAGCCCAAAATCACAGCGATGGGAGGAGAGTGAGAGCAAAAACGTGGACGGCGCCTGAAACAGCCAGCAACTGGAAGGGGTAGTTTATAATAGTCAATTGCTTGTTAGCACATTCTGCTGCACACGTTTCTTCTTGCAGGGGAGAAAAAAAAGGATCAAAGCAACCCGTGTAATGCATAAACCCCCGTTGTATCAGGGCTTGCCTGCAGAAAGCCGCAGGTTTACTGAGAAACCCGAAATAGCTCCTTGCTGGAGCTGCCATGTGGGCTCAGTGACTCAGCCCCGAGGACAAGCACAGCCCTGTGCGGCCACCCCTTCCCGTGTCCCATGGCTGCCCGTGCTCCTGGGTCGCCTGGGTGGCAGGGGCTGGGTTGGAGAGGAGTTTGGAGTCAACAAGTCTGCCGCCAGCCCCACCGCCTCTAAACGGCTCTTGTTTTAACGGGCCCTGGCCTGGCAGCGCAGACGCACGGGGCTGCGCCTTCCTGTTTGCTTAACCTGGGGATTTTTATAACTGGTGCTTTTTGTCAGCAGCCCCGGGACTGAAATCTGCCTGGTTGGGGAGCTGGTGGAGTTTGGTGCTGAAGGTGTCTGAGCAGCTGGTGTCCGGGAGGAGCTCAGCATCCCACGGGCACAATCCATGACCACCCAACCCAAGCTGGAGAGGGCAGGGAGAAGCACAGGGAAGGGGCTCACCAGGCTTTTCCCCCTGGGTTTGTGCTGGGACATTCACCTTGGCTCCCCGGGGAGGAATTCTGGTGGGGCTGGAAAACTTACAATAAGGCTTTCACCTTTCCAGAGCAAATTCAGCCCCCAGCCACAGGCGAGGGGAGGAGCGTTGCTGTGTGTGTGCCAGGCTCTGAAGCGGCTCGGTGCCCGGGGCAGAACCATCCTCCCCAGGGGCCACCAACCCCATGGGGACCGGTGGGCGCTGTGGGAGGCAGAGGTGGTGGCCACCTCCCTGTCCCCTGGGGCTCATCCCGCTGATTCCATCCCGTCCCCTGTGAGATGTGCCAAAAGCGGCCGAATGTGGTTTGGAAAGAAAAAAACCCAGTCCCGAGTGGGAAAAGCAAACCAGCAGGTAACTCTGGCACCGGCACTGGGGCGGGCTGTGGATGCGGGCACAGAAATGCCATTTTCACACATTTCTTCCCCTTTTTTTTTGACTGCGTGCACCCAATGGGCACCCCTGGGAGTTTATTTCTGGAGAGGGATACTCTGGCACCGGTGCTGGGGTGGGCTGTGGATGCGGGCACAGAAATGCCATTTTCACACATTTCTTCCCCTTTTTTTTTGACTGCGTGCACCCAATGGGCACCCCTGGGAGTTTATTTCTGGAGAGGGATTAAAGCAAACAGCTCTTGCATAACCCGAGGGAGCTTCACTTTTTTTTTCATTTTTTCTAAAAGTGTTAAAAAGGGAAGACAGCGGCAGCCCTGGAGGGGCAGCCCAGCCCCCGGTGCAGTCCCCCAGTGCCTGCCCTGATGTGGCTCGCTGGGGACATGCCAGCTCCCACAGGGACAAGGTGACAGGCAATAAATAAGGTGAGTCCTGGGTGTCACTTATTTGAAGTGCCTTATACGTGCTGTTATACGAAGAGTGTGGCCAGGAGATGGAGGGAGGTCGTAAAGAAGGTGAGTCCTGGGTGTTGCTGCACTTACTTGAAGTGCCTTATATGTGCTCTTATACGAAGAGTGTGGCCAGCAGGTGGAGGGTGATCATCCTGCCCCTCTACTCTGCCCTGGTGAGACCCCATCTGGAGCACTGTGTCCAGTTCTGGGCTGCCCAGTTAAAGAAGGACAGGGGACTACTGGAGAGGGTACAGCAGAGGGCTACTGTGTCAAGTTGTGGGCTCCCCAGTTCAATAAGGACAGGGCACTGCTGGGGAGAGTACAGCAGAGGGCTATGAAGATGATGAGGGTCCTGGAGCATCTCTCTTACGAGGAGAGGCTGAGGGACTTGGGTCTTTTTAGTCTGGAGAAGATAAGACTTAGGGGGGATCTAATCAGTGCATACAAATACTTAAAGGGAGGGTAAGGACAGGGCTGGTCTTTTTTTCGGTGATGCCCAGTGACAAGACAAGAGGAAATGAACACAAACTTGAATATAAGAAGTTCCACCTAAACATGAGGAGGCACTTCTTTACTGTGTGAGTGGTAGAGCGCTGGAAGAGGCTGCTCAGAGAGGTGATGGAGTCTCCTTCTCTGGAGACATTCAAACCCACCTGCACAAGTTCCTGTGCAACCTTTTCTGGGTGGACCTGCTTTGGCAGGGGGTTGGACTAGATGATCTCCAGAGGTCCCTTCCAACCCCATGTGATTCTGTGATTCTATGATTCTATGATTTGTGTTTGAGGCAGTGTCTGGTGCTGTGTCTAGGGGTTTGATCACTGTTCCAGGCTCCAAGGTCCTGGGGGACCGGCAGTGCAGGCTCTGCAGGGAGCCAGGAGGTGCCCAGGTTTGCCAGGGATGAGCCAGTGGGCAGGGAGTGATGGCTGGCAGTTGGCACCCAGGAAAGCCGTGATGGCAGTGGAGGTGCAGAGCCCATCGCTTGGAGCCACCATGCTTCTGCAAGATGTTAACACTCTTGGCCAGGGACTGGGAAAGTCCTATGCGTTACCGGGTCTTTTTCAAACCAAGACAAATAGCTTAATTGCGAGGTGCAGAGCCCATCAGTTGGAGCCACCACGGTTCTGCAAGATGTTAACTCTCTTGGCCAGGGACTGGGAAAGTCCTATGCGTTACCGGGTCTTTTTCAAACCAAGACAAATAGTTTAATTGCGGGGCTTGGAGCAACGTATAGGGCGCTCCAAATTGTAAATAACATTTATGACTCAATTGTGTTTTCCTAAATATTTGCCATAGTTGGAAACCGACGCTCTCCTGCGAACAATGGAAGAACATTTTGTTCCGATTACCGTGTGGAGGGATGAGGGCAAATGCTGTGATCCCACATCTCGCTCCCATTATTGTCCTTCCTGGCTTGGCCAACCTGCCCGAGGGGCTGGGGACAACAGAGGCCAGGTTGTGTCCCCTGAGATCGGCGTAGTTCATGGGTCGGGGGGGGGGAAGTCCATGTCTCCCTGGGCACGTGAGACAACGATGTGGGTTCACATGCCATCATCTCCAACGTGAGCTTGGGTGCTGCCTCCACGTACCTCTTTGCCAGATGTTATTTGAAGCATTGTATTTATTTTTTGATTTTCTTCTCCCGCGGCTGAAATTGAGCCCAGGAGAGCAAGGGAATGGAACCACGGAGCAAGGCTGGACCCCGTCCCATGACCCTGTCCCACTGTGGGCAGCCCCCGGCAGTCGGGCACTTGGCAGGATTTTTTCGGGAGGTGAGTTGGCTGAGAGCAGCACACATGTCTGTGTGTTCTTTGGCTTGATGGGATTATGGACCCTCCCACAAAAAGGCACTTTTCACCATCCCAGCACCCGGGACAGCCCGTGTCCCACTGTATAAATAACAGTATAAATAACACCATGAGGGTGCCCCCCTGCATGGGTGATGGGTGACGGGTGATGGACATCCCCCGGGCATCCCTTGGGGGCTGGTCACCAGCAGCAAACGGTGCTGGCCTACCCCCTCCCCAATTTAATTAATTTCTTTTGGTTTCCAACCTCTGGGTCAGGGATAATGGAACCCAGACCGGCATTTCCATTCCTGTTTGCTGCGCATTGTGCTTGTTAAGCTTTTTTTTCTTTTCTCTCTCTTTTTTTTTTTTTTAAATCAAAAATCCTTGCTCCGCTCTGGAGCACTGGCTGGAAGATAATACACATTCAAAGGCAGTAAGGAAGGTGCATGCAGGGGATTAAATTAGAAACGTTTCCCTGGGACAAAATTTTAAAAAAAGAAAAGAAACAATTATTTAGAGGGGCTGAGGAAATCGGAACCACATTGTATTATCTGTTGAGTAGAAGTTTTCTTGCAGAGGTCTTTTTTTTTTTTTTTTCCAACCCTGAGCTATGTACTAGAAGCAAAGCTTTTGTGGCATTCCCAAGTGAGCGTACTGTAAATCCATTTGAAAGATAACTCTGTCTGAGGTCTGCTCCTGCCAAGCTCCTCTTCCTCAGATGTCTTTGAAGATGGGAGGGGGACACCCACCAAGCACCCGGCAGAGGGGATTAGGGTCCCGACATAAACTCCACCGGTTCTTGGGAGCAGGGTTTGGGTCCATCAGTCAAAGCAACGATCAGCTGAACCCCTCCCTGTGACAACTCTC